AAACACTTTGCAATAATCATAACAAATATTGAGATAATTTAGGAAATGAAATATAATTTAATTTAAGCACAATTTTCTTCGCTATCTATAATTTGAGTATCAGTTAAACAATTTCATTGTGTATCGAAAATCTCATACTGTATACTGTAATGAGCTATTGTTTGGCATCTGATCATATTATAAGACTATTACCGTATGTTCAGTGTTATTGAGACGGATATTAATTGTTAACTAATATAAAGTATACATACCATATTCACAGAGAGAATTATTTTCAAGATCACTTTGTTGTCAATTAACGGGAATTAACATCAAAATGATCAATACACTGGTCAGTTTATGGGAATTTATAATTTAATCGTCATTTTATTAAATATTTTTAAAGCAGATAAACTAATATTATAAATATAATTACTTAAATATCTAAAAGTACAACACATAAATATATAAAACAATATTTTATTTATATTACAATTAATACTGTAGTATTTTAATTATAACCTTGAGCTAAGCCTGACACAATGGGAATATGCAAATACACAAACACCAGATGTAAAGCACTCGTGATTTAAATAAAATTAGAATTGAGACATGTTAATTCTTGTTACTACAGTATTTAATTATTTTAAACACTTGCTTGATACAATGATTTTTTGCAAGAGATGATCAGTTGCTGAAGTGCTATTATATTAGTAAATCAATAAATCTGATTAATCAAAATTATATGTATTATTTAAAATTAAAATATTTCTGAAATATTGATGAATGGATTTTTTACTGAATGCTTAGCAATTAAACATAATTTTAATAGAAATTTTGATTCAAATGCTTTGACATGATAACTAAATATTTCTCAATCAGATTCTGTATGAATTTGGTTTGATTTATTGATTTATAAAGGCAATGAAATAAGTAAATAAGTGTTACAATATAACTGTCCAAATATTTAAAGAACTTATTTTTTGATCACTTATTAACTTAATTTATTAATTTTATGTAATGAGAGAGAGAGAGAGAGAGAGAGAGAGAGAGAGAGCAATGATTTATTGGGGGATAAGTATAAGTTTTGAATATTAAATACAATATGAGTGTTTGCCAAATAAGTCTAAAACCCATATAGTTGAAGGTTAGATCATATTAATAAACATAATTACAAATTAATTTTATTACAAATGAATTAATGTTACATGAAAAAATTTTTAGAAATAAATTAATTAATTTTATAATTGTATTAATAAAAACTTTCAATCACTGAATAAATGCAAATAATTATTTTATTTTATTAATTATATAAAGATTATAAAGATTAGAAACTAAATAAACATTTCTCTGTCACAATTATGATAAGAATAATATATATTGAAATTTAAAAATTAAAAAATAATATTTTAAAAGTAGTATAAAGTTACATAAAATATTATATATTCTATTAACTTGAATAGAGTGAATGTGACATTATATCAGAGACATTAGTAAAAGTAATTCAAGCAATACGTGCTAGTTTGAATTTCTTGCGACTGACCCTGGTCATGGTCCTGGTTGATACGCGTCGTGAAGGTTCCTTTCGAAGAAACCGAAGCGGTCTCCCCATCACTGACAGGCCTATCATTTGATATATGATTTAAATTAAGATAAATAAACTGGAGTTCATTTAAACAGGCAATTCATACCCTGGAGTTGACCGTCCAATGCCTTGCGTTGAGCACTGATTTCTGTGCTCAACAATAGCCCAAACGCTACTAAACATACGATAATCGGAAGCAATTTCATTGTGATGCCTGTTATAGACTGATGTCCACTCATAACTTTATGCGGCTTTTATACAAGTTGCTGGGTTATTAGTTAACTAGTTTGGTATTTTATTAATTGTCATTTGATATGAAAATTAAGTGTATTTAAATAATTTGTAATTAATATTACATATTTCCTATGAGAAAATGTTTTGAATTTTATTGGCAAAGCATTTGCTAAACACGTGCATTATTTTTAGAAACAAATCGAGTACTCATTTGATCTTAAAATAATAATAGTATTATTATAATTATTAATTTTATTAAAAAAATAATGGAAATGTACATGATAAATATTTTGTATTTAATAAATTGTTATTTGATATTGATGTTATTCAATTTATATCAATTGATTGAATAAAAATAAATTTAATTAACATTTTTATAAAATGATATCAAAAATTTTACTGTACACATTATTGATCAATTATTGAATTCAAATAATATTATTTTTATTATTCGCTTATTACAAACTATATATTAATTTTTTTAAATAGTTGCCAAAATTCTAATAAAAAAATTAGATATATTTATATATTTACATTTGATAAAATACTTCAAAATAATAATTAAATAAATACAATGTTTCTCAATAATAAAATGTTAGAAATGAGTGATTCTTGTCAGAAAACATAATCTTTTTATCATTTCTACAGAAAAATCACTAGAAATATGAGAAGAATGGATATTAGTATTATATTATTATGTAAATAGTATTAGTATTAGTAATAGTATTATAGTAAATGTTATAAGTTTTTATACAAGTTATAATTGTTTGACTAATGCCTATGTATTATATATAAACTATACAAGTTTCGTAAAGAATATTCTAATATTTTTAATTAATTATATTCTTTATCTTAAATTTCAAGTTTATTTAAAACTTTATCATTAATATTAATGAACTTAGTCACTCAATACTTACTGTATTATTTTACCTTATATTATCTATTTAATGTTTAGATAAATAATTAATAATTTTGCATTAAAATGTAATGAATACATAAAATCTAATATGTTCTTATAATTTTATTTTAAAAATATGAACAATAACAAAATAATGTACAAATCTAATATATTACACGAATTAAGTGAGAATTAAATGACATAATAATCAGAAATGAAACTAATTTTTCTGGGATCGTGTTTGTGGTGGTCGTCCACAACAGCCCACGACTGAGACTCTGCACTGCCGAACAGCTCATAGAATATACCGCCGAACAGATAGATAGCCGCAGATAAATACCACACTATATTCCACTGGTGTCGGGCACCCGAGCCGTCCTGTTCACACAAATACAACATTATGTTTACTCATATCTGAACAACTATTTGGTGTGTATTAGCACTGACCCCATGATCTAGTAATACGCCGACAATGAGTGGTCCGGCAAAGCCAGTGGCGGACGCGAGTGTATTGGCCACACCAAACACAGTGCCCGAGTAGTCCGGCGCGTACTCAGCGATCACTCCGTACTCACCGCCGCTTATGAACCCATAGACAAACATTC